GATTATTTCAGATAGGTCGTCGCATAGCATTATTTGGCGAGGGTCAAGAAGAGACTGACCCGACACAACCAATGACACCCAAGCCCGGCGATACTGAGGCTTTCTAGAACATAACCGGGCGAACCTGGTATACATTTGAGTAGTCAGTAATCGATATGACTTGCAGTGACTAACGCGGAAGATAAACGCTCAAAGCTAGAGCAGAATAACCTGAATGAGGGGTTTTTGTTGTCCACGAAGACACATTTGAAAAGAACCAGTGACAGCAGGCACCGTGATGTGAATAAACCAGATGGAAAAGCACGGACTGTGAAACGTGCGTTTGGGTGCACCAATTTAGTTTTACGTTCGGACACAGGTAAACTATTATCTCCGATGTCACTCAGCTACTCGTGAGTAGTACTGCGGGATGAGTGTAATTAACACGGAATTAAAAATGTGTTCTCGCAAATTAGCTGGACGGAATCGGGTTCACCCATTCACCAAGCTGGGCAATAAACTTGCTAACGCTCCACCACCAACTGAAGTGACGCTTTTACTCATTCCTTAGCTCGACGAAGGCACAAAAAACGAAATTATCAACATCCGCCTGGGACTTTATATTCATTCACAGAACTCAGTTACTTTTCACTGTACGATTGACTAAATGAACTTTCTTTTTTTCATTTTTACTTCCTTCCATTTCATATGTAGTGATACAAATATCAGGAAGAGAATTGTTCAATTAAAGGGCGATCAGGAGCGAACTTAGGAGCGAAAATAAGGCTTGGAGAAGGACGGATCAACATTATTAGTGCAATCGTCTACTAAAGTTTTTGAACTGATTAATGACTAGTCGGTAGATTCATTAGTTACGTCATTACAAGATTGTCTAATTATCTCGCAATTTCCCCGTGCAGTGAGTGGTTCGTCAGGCCTTTTTATCATATAGTAGACTAACTATTCGGGAACATCTCAAATGAGGACATTAATGGCACAAAGATACCATGGAAACCACGAATTTCTTACTTGTTGGGCTGCTTTCAAACAATTCATTGCGACAAATACTCGTAAAAGACTGTTGGCCACAACCAGCGCTTCTCCCCGCTGTTTCGGGTCGAAGAACAGCCAATCCATTGCAATAATTCGCATCCGATCTGCTTCGGTAAGCTTGCCCAATTTTTCCTCCTGCAGCATGGCAGCTAGTTCCGCTCCTTGAGCCGTGTCAACCAAGGCAGGATGGCGTGTCGAAACACCACGACCAGACCAATCATTGACGGATCGAAGTTGGAACGGGGCTACCGGTTGGCGCTGACGGATGAGACGAACCACAGCACGGGAAAGACGTGGAACATCGAAACCGTAGGCGACGGCCAACTGTAAACAATGCTCTCGTTCGTGTGCTTGAGTGATACCTATCCATGGGGTGAAAACAGATGATGACCAGCAAATGTAATAGAAAGAGTGTAGACTGACATGGCAAGTGCACAACTAAGCCAGTCAGTATCAGGAAGAAGTGAAAAAATCTTTTCCGTCTGTGAATCCATGAATAACCGCTAACGAGTTGACAGTGGATTCGACAGCATGAATGGATGGATTGCACACCTAACTTAAGAACAAAAGTAACATTGAACTGAAACTTTTTTATTTAGTCTACTCATAAGTAGACATCTATACAGATAAATAAAAAAGATGGCAACGACGGAGATTTCAATTCCTTGCTCTCTTAAATTGAAAATAAAACAACTGAATACCTTTCACGGTCAAGTCAAACGTACCAGCAAGAAATGCTGAGTACCACTGGATTCGAAGAGCATTGGTGGGCAGAGTAGAGGCATAGTTTGCGACCAATTCACTGCGTTGTTCCGCCATCAACAAATATAGATAGGCCTTGATAACTTCTGCACAAGACTCATCCTGGTTTGAGAAATGGAAAGATTGGGTTAGGTAAGAATAGAAACTTAGATAAATGAACATAGGAACAGAACATGATCATGAGATGATAACAGCTCCTCGTCTACATCAGCGGGAGACAGACGGACGAAAGTAGCGAACACAGCTAATTGACCGGGAAATCTGCTTTTTAATTATTTCCTAAGACATATAACGTGGGATCAGAAAAACCTCCCGTTCGCAAAGTGGTATAACCTTTTTTCTCTCTTGGGGTAAGCCAAAAACTCTTGATTAAAGCGCTATGGTAACTGTCCTCATCTGGTATGCTGTGAATAAATTAGCAAACATGATTACGCATAAGTCTATGTAGCACAGTATTTTCAGTAAGAGGAAGGGCCCAGTAAAACGAGGTCACCTATGATGGCGAGCACGAACAGTGATGAACAGGGATTACCACCTCAATTTGCCCAAGACCAAAAGCATCGAACACCGCCAGTGGACCCCTGATAAAAGATGCAATCGGTAAATCTGGTTCAGGTATCGATCAATCCCCGATAGTCACACAAATCCTGTAGTGTGAGTGAACTATGGGTTTTTCCCTTTCTGTTGGTCATCATACAACGAAGTGCAGCAAAGGGACAAAACGTTTTCTTAAAACGCATTGTAGACATACAGTAGCCGAAACTTCTTCGTCAGACTGGGTTTTGTAGGCGTGCATGGGTTCAGTCCGGTGCACAGCAAAAAGGAGAACAGTTACTCTATTTTCTGACCAGATAAGTTGTTCGAAAACCTCTCCCACAGTCATTAACTCAGCTAGCTCATAGAGCACATATTGCTTGGAATAAACTCCTAAACAAAGTTGGGTAATACTTAAGACAAACCTATTACTAGGAAACTGTGAAATTCATGCACTCAACACCCGTTAGGCTAGCTTATTTTTCCCGCACCAGTGTAATACAGGATCTTCGAATGTGACTGTGCGAGCTAAACGATGCCATGGAATTGCATCAATCAGCAAATTAAGGATTAAGGTGGATGGCATAGTTGTGTTACGCACAAAAGCTTGCCGTGGATAAAAACAAAAACAAAAAGTGTAGGAACATTAAAAGCCCATGTATTACCCACGCGTTTGTCAGTGTGCTCAGTACCACAGTAGATTAGCACAATGCTGAGCTGATGAGCGACTTTTCGAAATAAAAGTGATGCAAAACACCAGTCTCATTGGTTCCATCGCTTTTTACCCCATCCTATGACACACCGGTAGAAAATGCCATTTCAATGATTGTAGAGCCAATATAACTCACTTGTATATTCGGCTCCACGGCACGGAGGAAAAGGACGAAATGTGCCAAAAATCGCAGCGCTTGACAAACAACCACATCCTTCGTACCCGACTGAATGTGTTGTGGTGGTTCCAAGGTATTCAAAGGGCCCAGATCCGGTGGAAGAGTGAGACCCAGACCGGCAGTGACCAGTTTAGGCATCAGGTCAGCCAGAGTTGACAGGTACGCTGTTGTATCATAGATAACAATGGATTTACGAAGATTTTAATAAAATCCTTCGTTGGTTTTCCAGTCAAGTGCTGTTATTCATTGATAGACTTCAGATATTAGGATTTTCATGTTTCTGGTTGGTCCATAATTTGAAAACGTCGTTAACCACAGCTGGGGCATAGTATTTCGACAGTATGATCTTATTGTTAGCTAATCACGTGAAAGGAATTTAAATCTTTAGTAACTCACTACTCTCTTACAAGTAAAACACGGGAAAGGCATATTTCACATGCAACTTTGAATGACGGCACGTTCTTGTATTTTACCAATGTCCCTGATTCACAAACTGTTAGGTCAGGCCTGGTCGACTCCAACGAAAGTGTGTGCCGTACACGAAAAATATGAATATACAAGTAAATACAAATTCCAGTTACAACCAAGTTCACAACAGTAATCTTGTCACCATTCTTCTGTGCAGAAAAAAATTTACAATATAAGTAATCTCGTCACTGAAGTGGAAAGTTTCGTAAAAAAAGAGAAATACTAGATTATATTACTGATCTTCAGCGAGTAGTGCAAACTGAAAGTGGACACAATTTGACTATCGGTGGTTTGGCCTTTGGACCAGACCAAACAAGAAAGTAGTAGTGAACAACTGGTTCTTACCATCGTAGTCGCGGAGCATCACGGCCTGTTGGGTAGCATAGAAAATGCAGTGGAGTAAGACTGAAATGGGCGCCTGTTGACCCGATGTTCGATCATACATAGGAATAGTGGATCGCTGTGAGCCATCGCCAAGAAGGAAATCGTTCAGGGCCGAGCGGCGTACCTCATCTAATGCGATAGCCGATGCGTTCTGCATGTAGCCCAGCGCGGACCAACCCAGAGTGGATTCGACGCGATCGAAAGCATCACCGATGGTCCACTCCTTCGGTAACCATGCAATCGATGGTAAGCTGAGACCAGCATCTAACGGCCATAGAGAATTGGTTTTGCCTGTAACAGCCTAATTATCGGATGGGATAGGAAGAGGTTACAAGAAAATGATCACCTAGAATATCAAAGTAACCCTAAACAATAATGCTGAATTATTCAAATAAAGGTCATTATTTTCATAGCTCGAACTGTATTACTTTGCTAATGTATCGAGGATACTAAGGCCAAAAATCACGCTTAAGTTACGTATGGGAAAGAGCCAATCATCTGGTTCCGTCTATCTCGAAATATATTCTGTCTTCTCAATTCGATCAATCCAGCGAAATTTTCGCCTTCTATATGTGATTTACCGTGACTTTGATTCACGTCAGCATGAATAAACATTGGAAACACGCCAAGGGTTGCGAATACACGGACGAGTTTGGCCGAACAACTAAGAGCATGGGAGATTTCGAACACCGTCACCTCATCCGGTACATGTGCCTCGAAGAACGGGATACTGGGTCTTAGTGTACTACGAACTTCCTCATCAATTATATTGTCTACATTGTACAAAAAACCCAATATCAACGTTCTTCAACGTGACTGAGGCAGTGCTTCGGAAGCACCCAGAGCGTGGAGAAACAATTCGTAAGATTCGAAAACCGATTTCTCAAAAATCTAAATCTCTTTCTCTTGCAGTGTAAACTGACCGACAACAGGCCTCAAATGTCAGCGCCCAATTTGTGATCTACGTGAATATAATATGTAAATCGAAGCGAATTAGAAAGCATGCTAATTACGCGTGGTGTAACAATCAGAGAACAGTTATATGTCATGAACAGTCTAATGAGATTCAAGAGGAGAAAAGAACATTCTCACGAATCGCTCATGTTTTCCATGAGTTGACCGAAAACAGGATACTACATGGTTATGTGTTAAAGTGGCGAGTGTTGTTTGGATGGAAACAAGTAGGTTTATTGTTCATGTGGGTCGTGTTTTACTCCTTCTCTGCGTTTCTCTCCCTAAGGTATCTATACTTTTCTCAAAGCACGGTGGATACAAGACAAAAGCAACAAACACCCAAACGCACGTACAAGTGTATTTGCACGAGGGCCAGTGTGAAGTAGGTGGCGCAGACTGGAATCCACTCGGGCCTCCACAGCTGCACGACAATGCGCCCATAACAAATCCGTCCAGGAGGCGGGAAGTGTACGTTGCAGAACACCCAAATTGCCTGACATGGCCGCATAGATCGCTCGTTCGTACATGTGAAGTCGAGTCTGACAAAGCAGATATGGAGGTGTAATTGCAGGGGGGCGAGAGAGATAGAAAGAGTAACGAAAGAAATGCGAGGCGTGAACGCGCTGTGGATCCAGAAGCGCGAGACTATAAAAAAAGATATTGTTTCCTGCAGCATCTCCTTTAAGGATTTGAAAGTTCCAAGAGTGTACGCGCTCAGAAGGCGCGGTTCGTAAGGAAAATGTGTTGAATCCAAAGTATGTTATTCCGGAGTGTTGTAGAAGAGAGCAGCAAAATATAATACAGTACAGCATAACACAGTATAGTATGGCGTTAACAATAATGGTTTATGCGGATCTGATAACAAAAAACGCATTATTAGCCTACTCTACTCAACCAGATAACCTAGGATACTTCGAAAGTCCCATAAAAACAGTGAATAAAACATAGTTTTAGTTAAAAGGCTGACAACGAATTGTTTCCATGTGAACAGAGGAGTATCGGAGATTATCTTGATTGTGGTCCTTCTGGTTCAGGTACCTATCATACTCATAATCAACATGTCCTTTCCTGTGATCCACACCAGCCACTCAAATATCACTTGTGGCTACACGAATGCAATGGTTACACTAGGCTAAGGGGGCTCCTCGGAAAGCGGAGCCATAGCTTTACCCAGGCATGCGAAATAGTTCCGGTAGACTGGGTAAACGATATGATATTCTTGATCCGATAGCTAAAAAAGCGGTTCCAAGTGCATTACTACAAAAACCTGCACTGACTTGTAGGACACACTCGGTCGTACAAAGAACCAAGCGGTTACCCATACTAATTTCGCAAGAAACCTCATGAACTCTCCATGAAACCACCTCATCCTTTCGCCCGGAAAAGCCCAATCAACATGAAGTGAGAGAAGAGGATTCAATTTGTTTTTGTTTCGCGCAATCACAAACACACTGACAATTGGAAAATCGAAATGCGAGGAACTAATAAGTTCATCAAGAAAGAGACCCACACCTAGACTGCAGCACATAGATCTTGTGTAAGTAAATTCGTATGGGACTCAACAAGAACATGATTAATCCACATAGGCGTGCTCAAGTGCTCTGGCTGTCAGCCATGTAGCTCGGGAGTAAGGATTTACACCGCAAACTCGACAATTCACGGTTCGAGTCCAGGCAGAAACACAAAGCTGATGAATCGCAACAAGAAAGAAACAACTGTTCAGTACTCTTTTTTGATCTGTACACAGAGCACTCACATCTTCCGCATTCCACCAGCAAACTGATTTGTATAAAATTCGAGTGGCATTTCCCTCTGGATCGGGGACTGTCACATCCGTAGCGGCCGGGCGTGTCACACGCGTAACATTCCTCACAGTTCGACCAGTCGGTCCGGTAGATTCCGGATTTGCATCATCCAAATCTTGATCCATTTGGTCATCAGTATCGGTGGCGGCACCGTCAAAACGAATGTCCGACGAATTGGGCATGAACCCGGAGAAGTGAAAGGGACGCCATCCTTCCAACGATACGGCACGCCAGAATTCACCACGCTGCATGCATAACCGATGGGCCTAAAGCGAAGGGAACCATGGACAATATGAAGATAATCCCACATATCGACACGAAAGATTTCAGACAATCAGTTCTGGAAGGTATGCAAAACTATAACTTAAACAGAACAAGGTTAATATATAACCGGCAAACAATAATGTTTATTGTGAATGGAATAATTTTAATAGCACAGCGATTTCGGTAAAGAATTATATTTGCCGACGTTTCGGTTACCGCGAGTAACCTTTCTCAAGGCAAGTTTTACCGTGTTTATTATTGGGAAGAAATGCTTGCTTCAAGGGGGAATCTCGTCAAATACTCTTAGATACCTAAACAATGATTCTATTGAGTATAAGGAATAAGGTTAGCAATTATCCAAAATATGCTTGTGAAGCCCAGTTCTGCGATACAACATTGAACATAAAAAAACTATCGCAGATGAACGAAACGAGCCTCTGAATTGAACAAAAAGTTGATTGCAAAATAATCTCTCCGAGGATAGTTAAGCAAATTCAATCCAATACAAGAAATAGATTGAAAAACGAACCCGAAGGAGACTGAAACGAAGACTTACCCGCATTAAATCACCACCGCGAACACAGAGGAACAGATAGTTTAAGAACCGGTCATTATCCTTTTGGTCTTCTATGGTAAGTTTACCTCCCGTACAGTTCACTGCGTCCGGATGCTACGACAAAGTGAAAGACTTACGTGAATGATTACAGAACACACGGGGAATGTAATAACTGAAGTTAGTCAGAATTCTATTGCCTATACAACATGAACTGGCAATTCCAACTTCGGATAATAATTATCTAGTATCAGTCAATCCATACGAACTCCTGCTGCAACGAGAGGCACATAAATCACATTTTCCTAGCTTTATCTAACAACGCACACTCAGCGTGCAGAAAAGATGGAAGTGGAGTCAGTAATCATTTCACAACCAGACACAAATAATCTGGATGCTTCAATCTGAGGGTTGTGATGATGCCCGGTCTCTTGTGTGCGATGAACACCCTAAAAATTGTTGGTTGCCGTGTATAGGAGACACGATGAAGCTTTTGCACTCTTTACAAGTTTGGAAGGCTACGTTGCTGCTGTACTGCACCGCAGTGAAAAAGACGTGAGAATACCCAAATCGACATAGACACAAGTCGCTGGTGAGACAAAAAATGAGCAGAGGGTGATTCTTATCTACCGAAAGCATGGACGAAACTGACAAGTTACTACTCTAGTTGTCCCGGCAGCCTCTGATTGACTGCCACTACCTTGCTGACAGTAAAATGTGCACTTGTACAGTGGACAAAATAAAAGGTCAGCAATAATCCCGAGATATAGTGGGTAAAGGTGAATTTTGGACTCTATGATCAGAGGTTGGAACCCCGCTATTACCACTCAGCTTTGCTGTCATTTGGCTCAGTACCACACCCAAACTAGCACAACCTTATGTGATTCACCACTCCGGGTTAAAATGCTCATGTCACCGGTTTTCATGACTGAATGGCAGGTCTTCATGACAATGGGGTTTACCCCGTCTGCCATTCATCGTAAAAAGTATACAGTAACGAAAGAACTGAACGTATCATTTCACGCTCTTATCTACCTCGGATACGCTTTGAAAGCCTCAGTGGCATCCGGGGTGGGTGTTTCGGGTTGCGGACCGTCACCCCTCCCTTGAAACTTGAGAAATACCCCCATAAGATCTCTAGCGTTTCAATCAGCTTCTGCTGAGGAACCCCTACTCACTGCCTTCCCGTGGAAGTGTTTTTCCACCAGAGTGATGAAGAAAAGCCAACATCCGGGGCTATAACCAGGTTAGTGAACCAAAGGTAATTCACCTAGGGGAGCTGGTTAAAATCCCTGATTCCAAACCAACCGGGAAGAAGTGCACGAACTATGTACACAACTTTCTGTTCGTGGCAGTGGTCGCCGGCTCAAATGGACATCAAGGTCAGATCGCAAGCTAACAGTGGGGAGACAAGTATACCATAAAAGCGACCGAAATCGTTGGTACTGAAATCACTATCATAACAACTATCTGAGT